GCAACTTTGCATGTACCCGCATACTGGCATCGAATATAGCTCTGCTATCATCTGTGAGACCGTCTAGCAGCGTCTTTTGGAAAACATCCCATTGAGAACTATTATTTATATTGGACAATTCGATCTTTAATAAAATTTCATAGCCAGCCAATCTCACGTGCACCGGCTTGTCACAACTAATTTTATCGATGAGACAGTTGTATTCTTCCGCATTTCCTTGTGGAGAAGTCCAGTCGTCTGCTGCAAGATCGCTAGCGAAAGAAAATGCTGATTGTGATTGCGATGCCACGGATGAAGGTTTTACCTCCAAGTATTGCTCAGTGATTGCCTTCTTCATAGAATTTAGCAAAGCAGTCATATCCTTCGAATGCGAGAGCTTGTAGGCAATATCGCTGGGCACCTCCTCCTTGTCTATAGCGCTTTGTATAATTTTTCCGAACTCCTTCTTTAAGCATTTTCTTAACCATTTTTGAAGATCCGGTGGTACATCTTTATCCATATTTTTTTACCTAAGCTAATGTACGAGTAAAAACTAATCAAAAAGTGTGCAATAAAATGCACATGTCTAAGCTTTAGTGTCCATAACTTTGACATTCGTTGCCATAGCAACCAGAGGTATACACATACGGAGAGTATACCTATATAGGACATCATTTATGAATAATCGAGTCACGCAATACAATGAAATTTTTTTATAACAAAATTGTACAAGATCGTTATACAGTTTTACAGATATTGTATATCAATTGTACTGTATAGATGAATACATCTGAGTATTATATGTATAATAACTCGATTACGTAATTTAATTAGCGTGCAGGTACTATAACATTTGGAGACTTGGAGCGTAACGCGTTAATTCCGCCTTGTAGAGAACAGACTCCTACGACATTGCATTTTACCAGAAATTCTGCAAACTATTAAAAAAAACATTACAATTAAATCTCTCTTCACAATTTCCTCTTATACAAGATGTCCCGCGAGATTTCTCCAATCTCGCATAGAAAGGTGGATAGGATCGAAATAAATACAGAAATCCTATACTATTCAGCGATTCTCACAATATTAATACAGATATTAATTTTTGAAATTGTACTAATGTACAATAGGATTTCTGTATTTATTTCAATCCTATCTACCTTCCTGTACGAGATTGGAGAAGTTTCGCGGGACACCCTATATATAAGATTTACTTGCCAGCGCATTGTTTTGATCGTGCGGTCCAATAATTACAACGACACTGTTTTTATTATCTATCAACGGTTTTGCATGCGGCCCGAGTGTATCGATGTGAGTTTGAGATAATTGCACACTGGTGAATGGTATATTAATACTCCCGAGAACAGCACCCCTCTCGAATCTGTTAAAAACAAAGATTAGCTTAGAAAATAAATCCTTTCGATAGAATTTTTTATTATAGCTCAAAAACGGGCACTTACTGTATATTACTACGTACATCAACCGCTATGACTTTACTCAGTGAATTATTGTAAAGATTTAAAAAGTCGTCTACGCTTATTCTTGGCATCTTTTCGGTTCCCGCTTCGGGTTCAATCCAGTTTGTATCCTACGAATTAATTAGAATTTTATAATATGCAGATGATCAATTACATCAATTGATACTGTACCTGTGCTGTATTATACTGATGTTTTCTGTATGTAATACTAGCGGGTGTGTTTTGATACATTGTCATGGAATCTTTAACGCATAATTCTATGTCAATCTCAGGTAAATCAGAAAACAGGAGAATACACTCATTAAAACCTGACATTAGTAAAGAATCTCGTAGTTGCTTCAATATTGCTAATCCAACTAAGAGAGGAAACGACGAGTCTCCCAGCAGTAGTTTATCCCATAGATGCAATATCTTATGCAACGGAAATACGTCTAAAACATCAGTCATTTTTTATATCAACAATTAATGATGTGGCATATTAATGGTACATCAATGGCAAAACTTACGTGAAAACATTGTTAGGAACCATGGTATGGCAAAAAGTTCCGGTACAAAATTTATGAACTTCAAATGATTTGCTAATTGGGGATCGTGAAACGCAATGATTTGGGAAAATTTGCCCAGATATTCCTGTATCACCGCTGAGTTATCTTTCAGAAAGAACTTGTGGAGATACTTCGGTATAAAGGCTGATAGACACGCAAAAGCTCGAGCTAAAACCAATTGTGTGATACATTAACTTGCAACAGGAAAACATTTTTATGGCTAAAGAAACAAATAGGTTCTATTAAAGTTTTTTCGTTATTATATAGTTTTTTGAAGTTTAAAAATTTTTTTAATTATAAAAAAATTGCAACATTTGAATTTAATATAAATACAAACAACCTACATTTTTATACAAACAAAACAAAACTATAAAAAATATACAATATAATTATATCAAATTATTACACTATTTAAAAATTAGAAAAATGTCTCAAGCTCACCAGGATCTTATCTTCCAGTTATAAAGAAACAAAAATATGTATGTCGGATAGTCATACCTTCATTATTAAAATTTAGATAAAGAAATGGAGCTGTCAGTGAATCGAGCCCTTGCCAATAAACGTAATGTGGATTATTCCTGACCCACGCTTTTAGTAATCTTTGCAATCGTTCATGTCCAGCACCGGATGACAATAATTCACTATATTGATGGCATCTCGGTATGTCCACTTCTATCTGAAATTATTATATATATATCTGAAATCAAATTACTAACTAACTGTACTTATATGTCGAGTATCATATTCTATACAGCAATTATATACCTGCCGATCAGTATGAGTGGGTGTTTCCTTGTCAATCATGTCATAACGCTTCTGTATATCGCCGGTGATACCAAGTAAAGCCGCCCATATGGCACCTCTAACTGGAGGCGGTATATCTTTATGTGCTTCTTCGATAATTGCTTCCTGAGTGAGCGGATAAGCCTGTAAAAGTCTGTCAAATAGAACAAGCCTATAAAACTGATATTCCGTATCACGCTCCCTTATGATTAATGGTAACTGAGACGCGGCATTCGTCAGATCTTCTTGTGCCTGAACTCGCATTCTGTAATGTAACATTTTTATAACAATTCGTAATATTGAAATAGATACGGCACAAGAGAGCAAAGTGAACTAACTGGTTTGTTAACCAAGGATAGTTTGCTATGTATGGGATATGAGCTAAACGCTGGCGAAGAGTCTGCATAGGAACTTTTACGACCTTTACATCGAGTAAACTAGCGGTGTCTCTCTGACCAAACATTTGACCAAGTAATATAACTAAGCTGAAACAAAAATTTCAAATATTTAATATAATCATATTGTATAATTTACATATACGAATGGTTATTTTATACATATATATTTGAAAATTACTTTGGAATAGATAAAATAGGCGGTTTTGATCTAATGAGACTCTGTTTTTTTAGATCTATAGTAATATCTCCACCGGCCAATTGCCATAGATAATACAACTCATCCATTTTTCTAACAATAACGTTCTTATAGAGATTTTCTTCTTTTTCTTGCTTATTTTTCATTAAATATTCCGTAAATATCGGCAGCTCCAGTAAATCCTCAGGAGTCTTGCGCTTGGTAGGATGAATTTGCAGACACGAATCTACAAATTCCTTTAGCTCTTTTGGTAACTTCTGTATGATACAAAGATGAAATGTAAGATGTGTAACATTATAATATAAACAGATAACAATACATCATAGATAAATCCATACTTCATAAATGTGAAAACAATTGTTTTCTCTGGCAAGACGTTCGAATATGCTAGTATCACACAATATTAAGCTCAAAACTTTCCTCAAACACTGGGACAATTTTGCGCCAGGCCAAATGGGCTGCCCTAATAGTTGTTCTGCTATAATCATTCCCAGAGACCAAGAGTCTATTTTAATGCCACTTGGACTAGGATTTAGAAATACCTCTGGTGCTGTATATTTCGGAGAACTGAGAAAGGAAAATTTATTTGTAATTTTATGACAAGTAGATAGATCCATTATATTTAACATTTATATCGATAAAAGGAAATATTTGGAAAAATACCCAATTGGAAAAGATACGTTCTTTCCTCCATCTGTCATGTAATATAATCCATAGTTGTATAACTGGACATCACTATTTTTCTTAATCAATATATTATCTGGACTCAAGTGTCTATGTACGAGATCTAATTCATTCATGTGACGTAGCGCTAAGAGACTCTGAAAAGATATCTTTATGATTTCTTCTATACTTAAATCATGTCTAGTGCTCAATGGATATCCACTGTATTCTGCAACAACTACAATCCTCTCTACAAATATACAAAAGTAATCATTTTTAAAAATTTATTTATACGGTCTCAGTGGGAGAATTAAAAGACAGATTATTTGCAGTGTCAGGACTTACCGTGTTTGCTTCTAATTATGTCAAGATAAGGAGAGAGATGAGGATGATAGATGGTCTTTAGAAATTGGGCCTTTCCATAGATAGTTATGGAATTCGGTGTGAGTGGTAGACCGTTGCTGCCGCACACTTCCATCGGGTGGCTTTGTGCGAAGAAAGTCATGCCACCCAAACATCGCTCCTCGTTCTCCAATAGTGCAGGACACATGATGTTTGTGGAATTCCATAAATCTGTCTCCGATTAGACGAGTCGACTCCGTTATTTGGATTCGGAGCTCCTGTCACTCATAATCATGTCGTTTTCAGCATTTCTTATGACACGCCCGATGTCCGCCTATAATCGTTTACGACAGTTATTATTCAACATTTCAATCACAGACTCCCACAACATCAACGAGACACTATTAACTATTAAAGTCTGTATCCACATTAAAACTCAGTCCGAATGTTCGAATCACTAAACTATAAAGTACAGTTCAGTGGTCCGAATTCTCGGACCGAGAAATGTGTAGCCAATCAACTTGCCGTTTTTCCATAAAAACTACATGTTGATTGGCTGCATATTCCGAATAGAGTTCTAGCATCGTGAACGTAAGCTTAAATAGATTGTCGATTTCACCTCTAAGGTTAGGTCGGTTAGGATGAAATCTTACGGCGAAAGCCGCTAATTTGAATGGAATAACAGGATATAAATTTACTATGAAAAAATGGCACGTTTATTTAACAGACTGGCGATCAAAGTCCTGGCTAGGATGCAGGTAGCCAGATATGGAAATAAAGCAGATCATTGGGTAAGCGCTTTGTACTGTGCTCCACAGACTTCATAATCTGGTATTGTTGTATTTTATAAATGAACTTATTATTATAATTTTATTGTTATTTGTTTTATATTGATTTTTATTTGTTTATACGTATTTTTTTAATATTTATAATTAATTGTCGTCTGATTATAAATAAAGAATATAAACATTTATAAGATTCTAAATACAATGTCTGTTTAATTAATTATTTTTTTTTGCTAAGTCTGTGATTAAAAAGAAAAAGACACACATGGACAAAGCACTGAAACATTTTGACGAGTTTTATGGTAATGTCTATGAAAAGTCATGGGAAAATATAAGAGCTGCGTTATTGAAAGAAGATCACAAATACATGGCTGTTGTAAACTCCTTCAGCGATATAGACAGAATAAAGTCAGAATTAGAGGTATATTTGCATAACAAAGAATTATTGAATATATGATTTTAGCTAACATTTGTGTGTAACCAAGTCTTTCTTCTAGTCTCATGGTGCTATGAATCTGAGAACAATTTATGAAATCTATAAAGAACATATTGATGAAAATCCATCTAAATCTGATAAAAGAAAGAACAAGCAAGCAAGAAGTCAAATGGACTCAATAATTTCTGATGCTGAGATATCAACAGTACAGTCACATTATCCTGTGAATTATGAGTCATCGCCTATATCTCTAAGTACAAATGATGAAGCTGAAAATATAACAGTAGAGAATCAAGGCAAATTGCAACCTGTAGAGATGAAATCTATTGAGTCAAATTTGAATAAAATCGCCTTAGATGAAAATCGAATTGTACAGCCCAACTCTGGCTTAAGCGGGTTATATGAATTTGTTCCAGCCACAAAAATTAAAGGTAACTGATGTTACAAAAATCTGAAAATACAGGTATCAGGCTTCAAAAAATATTATAATTTAAATATTATAATTTAATATATAATTTTATATCATTTTTCAGGTATGGAAGACTGGATATTGGAATCACAACACTACGGCTATTACAAAGAGGGTGCAGATTTTTCAGGGAACACTGAGAAAGAGGTTGTATTAACGTTTCCGCAATATCTTAACATTTATACGTTTGAGGAAAGTAATGATAGCAGATTTCCATCCCCAAAGAAAGGATCGACTAATGTTTCAGGTTAGTTAACTTTAATTGGAATTTAATTTCATAGGTATAAATGTCACAATTGTGTTATACAGATTATTATCTTCTGGATGGTGCTTCTGTCTTACCGGTGTTGGCTTTAGACTTGCAACCTGGTGATGCCGTGTTAGATATGTGCGCGGCACCAGGAGGTAAAGCTCTAAGCATCCTTCAAACACTTATGCCACGTGTAATGATAGTTAATGACCTTACAAAGTCTCGAGTGAAGAGAATTAACAATGTCATAAATGAATATGTAGCTGGTATCGGCCAGTGGGAGGATAGATTGTGCGTGACAGAGCAAGATGCGAGATTTATCGATGAAAAAGATATGTTTAATAAGGTAATGCACAGAAGATTTAATTTTTTTCGAATAAATTCTTATAATAATTATTTCTTTACAGATCTTGGTAGATGTGCCGTGTACTACGGACAGACATGTTTTGCATTCGGAAAATAATAATATCTTCAAACCGCAAAGAATACAGGAAAGATTAAAATTACCAGAATTGCAGGCAGCCATTTTAACGTATGTACGAAATTCGATACTTTATTGTAAATATGTCACCTTATTCTTCTCTATTAAGTAACTATCTGTTACAGTAATGCATTGAAGATAATATCGGTTGGTGGAACAGTCGTGTATTCCACTTGTTCTCTCAGTCCTATTCAAAACGACGGCGTCGTTAGCATGGCGCTAAAAAAGGTCTGGGAAGAAACCAATTCTATTATGATTGTAAAGTAAGTATTTTTTCATATATGCAACAACATGTTATTGTCGAATACCATTTTATATTAACGACACTCTGCTGAAACAGAGATATGACCGAAGCACTGAAACCATTGAGTTGTCTTTATAAATTTGGCAATTTTGGGTTAAAATATGGCCATATCGTTATTCCTACGCTTGAAAATAATTGGGGCCCCATGTACTTTTGTAAAATAGTACGAACACGGTAATAATAGGTGAGTGTGTGCAAATAATTTAAGACCTAGAGAGGCATCGTAGACTTTATTATATATAGTAAATAAATAAAATATATTTTATATATATATATATAATAAAATAAATACTTGTTATAATGTTATGCAACTGTATATAAAACTGTAAAATATTAATGGACTTTTTCCATAGTGATAAAAATGCGCAAAATATAAAATAAAATATTACGTACAAAATTATTTACGATAAAACATAAATAGTAATTAATTATAAATTAAGTCATAATGTACTTTTTATTTTGTATTATTCCTCCTTAAAGGTAATGTCTGATCGTTCGCTTCCTCGTCGGGTACTTCAATCTGGTTCCAAGGTTGTTCTTTACCACTTCCAAAGATAGTATACACCAATATCTCGATTACGTATAAAATAATTGTTACGAGAAATATGATCCTCCACGCCTCTATAGTTTGCTGTAAATAATAAAAAAAATCAAAATACGCTCCGATATATTCAGCGTAACCAACGAAAAAAAATTTATTTAAGGACTTTCTCTAGAAATAATTTGATTCAATCGTCCTCTTTCCACTTTGAAATATTACGATTTTTTGCTTTATTACTAACGTTTCCATGAGTTAGTTGTCCTACGAATACCGGTACAACGAAACCTGGTATGGTGGCGACGAAATTCGTTATCGCCACTAGACTACCGGCAAAATTCGGTGCGATATCTATATGATTTGCCAGGAAACCGGAGTACATTCCGCCGATGCAAGTTACTGCGATCGTCATCAACACAACTGCTTTTGTGCGATCGCACCCAATATATGACACCTGTATTAAGCATATCATGGGTACGAGTGATGCTGCAACATTTCAAATGTAATTATATAGATTAAAAAATTTATATAAAAATAATACATATAAAAATAGCTGTGTGTAAGATATCCAAAAATGTGCATTGCTACATATGTTGTCTACATGTAATGCAAATACTTTGATTAATTTAGAGTCGATTTTTTTGAAAATTTGCTTCATTAATTAGTTATTAAAACGTACCAAAAAGAGTACCGATTTTTCTTGATACTGTCACTGTGATCAGACCTTTTTCCTGCAGGATGGCTAATACTTTACTGAGAATCATAGTAAAGAGCCACATACATAAAAACGGGATGGATGATAAACCTGCGTTCTGATGCATAAGTAAATTAATTTATAATATGTTAAATCGCATGTGTTATTTAAAGCATTTTTTTTACCGAGCTCAAGTTGAACTTCAGGATCTGATTCATAAAGGTGGGCAATTCGATCAGCAACATGTACCAGCCGAAATTACTGCAAAAATGGGCAACTAGAATGGCTATGAATGGTTTGGAACGAAATACTTGTAGCCATGGAAGCTGCAAATATGGATTTAAAAAATGAGGAATTTTTTTTAATACAACGCGAGAATTAAGCTATTTAATTTAATTCTCAACGTACCACTTTGGGAATATTTTTCTTGTGTCCTCCCAAAGACATGACGATGTAGTTTTTTTCCTCTTGAGTAATGAATTTCGTTTGTTCTTCCGGAGAATCTGCTATCATCAGCCACCAAATAGTACACCAAATCAAGCAAAGTGCTCCTTCAATATAGAAAATGGATTCCCAACCGAGATTTGCAGCCAGCAAGCCGGTTAATAGAATGGAAATTACAGTGCCGAGTGCCGTTCCTAAAAATTCCTCAAAATTTGATTAAAAAAAAAAAAAATGTACGATGCATCCAAAAAATTCCAGGTATTAAATATATCTATATTACATCATGATTTTTAATAGAATCTTATAAAACAAGAATCAGTTTTACAATTTTCGCGTTGTAATTACAGACCACGCAAAAATCGTAGAATCACGCTGAAAGATTCTGATATATATTGCTGGAACTTCGCTAAAGACGTCTTCTGTAATGTTCTTCTTACCTGCATACACGATCGAAGCGATGACATTTCTTTCATGTGGCGGTGCCCACCTGGCGATCATCACGTGCATGGCAGGGAATGATACACCCTGTAATTCAAGCGCTCGAAGTTACAACCGTATCGGAATATCGAATCTGTTAACGTAACAAGTCATTACTGACACCACCGATTCCCTGAAGAAATCTCATAGCTATGAAGAGCCAGTAATGCATACGAGCAGCGATGGGCGTCAGAATGGATGCAACAAGATTCAACATAACCGATCCATTCATCAGCCACTTAGCTGACCAGAGTTCTGCTAATCTCCCACCCGGCAACATAGACACCGTGTAGCCCCAGAAATACGAAGATAAAATAAGGCCTTGAATAAGTTCGTTCCATACGAATGGACCGTCCTGAAAAGATGCGGTAACATTTGGCTAAATATTTTCTTTTTTTTTTTAATTAAAACGCTGAGATCTTTTTGCCAAAGCTACATATGAGAATTACATGTGAATCTCTTTCTTACTGTAAGATCATCACCTCATTTTCGATCGTCGTGATGTTTGAGATATCATCAAAGTGGCATATGTTCTTGCTCGTTAGCGTGGTATTGTTAGTTTCCGAATCGTTTGATGTAGATAATTTTATGAGTGGTTTAATGGCTGTATGATTCACCATAGCGACGATAGCCACGCTAACATTGACTTTAAAGCCATAAAGAATGGCGAGGCCGATCGATCCCATTACGGCCATCACATATCGAAACGGACATAGCGTTCTGTTTCCTCTTGTGGCTACAGAAATAATTAATATTATAATCAGATTTTTTTAGTATAAAATTAATGAAAGAGAATTATCTTTATATATTACAATTCTTTAATTTAATATTATACAGATATTTTACTAAACTTTTAGTAAAATACTCAACTACTCAAATTTTTAATTTCTATCTTATTTTATTTTTTATGGCAAAAATTAAAACGGTATTTGATAATTTATATCTTGTTCTTTATCTCATCTGATTTTTCGCGACATAAAAAAATGATACTGATTGCCAGAATTATTATACTCATGAATTGTATTCGAATTTTTATTTCTTTTACAAATACATAATGAGTTGCACATAGCACTTGTCTACCTAAAACAATCTAGTTATAAATGCTTTCTCTTTTGAAATGTCACGATAAAATCACGATAATTGTATAATTGGTTGCTTAAACTACTATATTTTTATGCACGATTTGTTTTTACAACAGAGGAACAAAAACAAGCTTTCTAAATTGAAACAATTTTCTGCTCACGGACGAAATGTACTTCAATTTTAAGAAATGAGTTTTTCTCGTCTGGCTTGACGTGAAATCGATTTTGTATGTTCAGAGGCGTACCCAAGAGATTATTTTAAGAACGAGAATTTGCGGCGCGCCGACACGCGGACCGTCACTTTGAACACCGAGTTGAAGACAATGTTATCCTGATGCAATTCTTGAGTTTCTGTCTAGTATTCTGACGATTGCAGTTCTCTATTCGCGCGCAATTAAATTTATATATTATATGAATTTAATTGTATCTCGCAAATCTGCAACTCCGAGATAGCGAAAATTTATATGTTGAGTACATCATGTTGAACGCATATGATAAGAACTGATCGACACTTGCACAGCGTTGCGTCATAAATCATAATGCGTTCATGTTGCACATCAGCTGGCAATCAATTTGAAATCGATATATTTAACTAAAATTCTATAGTGTCTCGCGAAAATCGATCTGGAGTAGAGGACGCGTCAAGGTCATGGAAGGTGACTCAACCTAGAATTATCTTGAATATTTTTTGAACAATTAAATTAAATGACGCAATTTTTATACGTAATTAGAGTTTAATAAATCTAATTTAAGAAATGATTTAAAGCTGTTTTTAGTAATTAAAAGTTTTTTAAGCAAAAATTAGTAAAATATGTATAAAATATCTCTCTGTAAGTATCTTTTCTGAATGATCTTTTTGTCTTTATTAATTTCTTCCTCCTAACATTTTATAATTCTAAGGTATATTTATACAATTAAAAAATCCTGATCTTTCTTGTGAGAGCCGACGAAGATTCATTACTTACCAGTATCTTCCACGGCCATCGTACTAATAGGAAGCGTCTTCGACAATACCCAGAGGATTCCAACGAAGATGTATCGCAGAAAAATAATCACGTCTCCAATTTTTCCAATATTCCTTATACTTCTATTCAATTTTATACCGTCGCAGATATTTTCTTCCTCTCTAGTAGAGAGAAATTCTGGTGTTCACCCGCTTCCGGCTCGTGACAGAAGTAGTGTGCCACTGATATAGCGGCACGAGAAAGCCGAGAAATTCTTGGAGCGACTTTGGTCTCCGGAGGGATGCGGAGCGTGCGCCTCTGCTATAAACGCCTGCCGCACGTACGCGTATAGTGCGTACGTGAGAGGGATCGCACGAAATACAAGAGGCCGATGCCTCATACTCTCATCTCAGTCATTGACGTTGGCGGCTGGCGTGATAAAGGGCAAAGGGTGAATCACCTACCTCGGCATTTCGCGAATAATGTCCGTTTCTATACCAATGTAGATTAACTCTGATATATCTCGGCTTTAACTTACTTTTTATCTTTTTCTACACACAGAAAAATATTGTACGCAAATAATAACTACATGTTTTAAGTATATTTTAAAAGTTCATATATTCACACAAATCTTATCATAAGTTCATCAAAAGCATCAAATTCATTTAAAATATATTCTGGAATCTTAGTAAGTTTAATACTTCAATTAAGATCGAAAGATTAAAACTAATTTGATTTGCTACTAGCTCAGATCATTTCAGCAATATCAGAACATTTGCAAGTATGAATAGAATAACGATAATTATTTGTAAGTAATGTGATTGCTCGCGCTTAACTTTTATGAAAAAAAAGTTTTATGAATGAAAATTCTCTCTAAACTCAAAATTTCTACTTTTTTTGTTTTTTATCATTTTTGATACTTCATTGGATCCTCTTCGGTCCACCGTATATTTATTTCTAAGATCGTTCGTGTCCTGTATAACGGGCGCAAAATTTGTTTATTCGAGCTAACTGAAGCCAGGCTCGAGCGAACATGTAAGATAAAAAAAATGTCTACCGCGTTAAAAAATTTTTAATATACGTAACAGAGACTTTTCTCTTTCTCCTTCTTCTCGTATTCATTCGTTATCCCCACGTGAGCTCATGATCTCGTTAGTGTGTGGGTCGCCAAAAGCGTCGCAGTGAACATGAGCGCAAACTCGGAGACCGATGATCATCTCGACGAGATCTACGACTGGATCGATCAAATTAAGTTTTCCAGGCCCAAAAGAAACATAGCGAGAGATTTTTCCGATGGAGGTAATGAAAAAGTATCATCTTTATATAATTTCATATAAATCCATTTGTTAATTCCTCTCCCGCGAAAGGTCGACGATCTCTCAAGATACATTAAGTCTGTTTTTTTTTTATAGAATAAATTAATGTATACTTTTTGTACTTAAAGTGAAATAGATATATATGTCCGATGTTTGGTAAAAGTGAGAAGTTCTGCAACAACAAAAACAGACCTATTTCCTTCTAGAATAATATTTCAAGAATAATATAACAAAAAATTTAATCGCTATGTTTAAACTTCAGTGTTGATGGCGGAGCTGTTGAAACGCTATTACCCTAAGTACGTGGACGTGCATAATTACGTCGCTGGCAACAGCATTGCGAAGAAAACTGACAATTGGAGCACGCTGAATCGCAAGGTGCTGTCGAAGATCGATATGAGGCTGGGGAAGGATGCGATTAATCAGCTGGCGGGTTCTCAACCAGGCATCATCGAGAAAGTCCTCACCGATCTGCGAGTCAAGATCTTGAAGGATTCAGAGAAAGACAGAGAGTTATTATACTTCGGCCACGAGGACAGTGAAGGTGGCTACTGAACTGTAACAAATTATTTTTAGATTCTACTTTCCCTAAATCATTTTTAATTTTTACAGATAATACAGAGACAGTAAAGTCTGTGCTAAATCCTGACGAGTTAGCAAACAAGACAGTCTCCCGGCGTATTTTCACTCGCCTGAAGCAGGAGCTGCAGGAAAAAAACGACACTATCTCTACATTGCAGCAGAAGATTTCACATCTAGAAAGCATAATGAAGCTGAAGGATCAACGAATCGACGATCTCACATCACAGATCACAAGGCTGCCCATTGAGCGAAACGTTGCTACTCCTCGTTCTCACGTTATAGGCAGTGGAATCTCGAAACGTATTTCTACCAAGCTGTCATAATAAATCTAATCGATAAAAGTATCATGTGCTCTCTGATGTGGCTTTTATATAACACAGCGTAGCTTGTTTTTTTTTTTACACATGTATTATGTATAAAAGAATACACATTTTATTATCATCTAATTGGGCCATTCATGTAATCTTACAAAATTACACATGAGATTATAGTGTATTACACTATATATAGTATAACTAAATTAAATAGAGCAGTCATGAAATCTTTTTTGATTTTTTAGGTGCCCATCTCAAATCTTATATATCTTTTGGACATTCTAACAAAACAAAATCCCATAAATTACGCAAAAAAAATATTGATAGCTTCATATAAGAGATGTTGCATCAAATGTCATGGTGATTTTACGTGGGTGGAGATACCAGGATGACACCGTCACCGCGCACAAATAGCATCTGGATGGTTCTCTTTTTCTGGCGGTAGATTTCCTCATACGTTTCCTCATCGATTTCCACTATGTTTATAATCTCTTCCACATCGCCCAACACCATATTCAGGTGTTGATCAAAGGCCTGAAATTAAATTAAAACGTAAGAATCATTTTACAAACGATAGAAGCGAAAACTTATTATTCCTTCTTAGCTACATATTTTCCTTTTGTTCCATTTTGAATCACATTTAATGGTTTTAAATAGGCCTAGCAAAGAGTAATGGAAAGTTCCTTACATGTAGTTTTCCTCTGAGTTCTCTCTCGTTTCTCATCTTTACATAAATCCGCTCCTCCAGGCTTAGCTTTATAAGGTCCAGCGGCTCCTTCACATCTATTGGCGGCAACTGTTTTGGAATAACATCCAGGATCATCGACAAGTATTTGTAGTCAATCTATATGAATCATCTATATGAACTACACTTACCTGCTCTGATTCTTCAACCATAGCGCGTTCTTTAGACTTCTTGTGACAATTGCGTAATAATACTGGGCGATCAACGACGCAATCGAGGATCGTGAATTAAAGTGTAGAATTTAAATATTTCGTAATTATATATCACTGATATCACAGGTGATTATAGGTTACCGGCTACCACCATACAGACGAAAGATATCTGAAAACTAATTGCGTCGATGTTAAGAAAAGGAAGTGGAAACAGGCGCATGCGCGTGCGCCATATTGTTAATTTGAAAATTTTCAAAGTTAAATACCACTGACGATATATATAATGGTATCTCGTCGATGGATGCGTAAAAAGATGTTATTTTTATTATTTCTCAATGACAAACTGAAAAACGACATCGATCATTTTGATTGTACTCAGAATAACAAATGCGATCCCCAGACAGGCATATTTAAAATCGAGACATAAAACATCATAAAGATGTTTTTTAATATCTTATTAGTATTATTGTGTTTAAAAGAAATTTCGTTTAATATAAAACAAAAAAGAACTACAAGAATAGATATTCATTATATTACATAGATTTTTCATCAAATTTCGCTACAAATTTTCGCATTTTTTTCTATCTCATACCTAGAATCAATAAATTCACACATGTATTATCTACAAATTACATTTTAATTATAGAATTCTAATATTTATTTATTTATAATATTTATTACAGAAGGGTTCTTTCCTATAACTTCTCTAAAAATAAAAAGCAAATAGAATAATTAGCATCAAGAAGCGCCTTTCTTTATATAATTGTTATTGTTTTTTTTTATAATTATTAGTAGCAGCACTAAATGTTTCGAGTTCGAGTAAAACACTGTTTTATTCATATTACGTTCAATATTTTATTAACTCCTCGATGTATTATTTATTTCTACTGTTATATGTGTAAATAATTTTACTGATTATAACAGACTCAGCAAAATGTTTATTCTGCAATAACAGTTTTTTTTACTGAGAGAGGACGTACGTTTTTCAACAAAAGGACACAATATCATTTATAATAGCACATTGGATGTGATGAGCGATGTCCAATAAAAGTTCTATTTCATCACGTGTAAAAAAAAAAGCAGAGCTTTCATTGAATGTCACTCTTGCACGGAATAAAAGGAACATAGAACAGAGAACAATGGAAAAGAAAAATTTCAACCTATCGGAAAGTATGTACTGTACATATGATATTATGTATGTAAAAAAAAAACTCTATTTTTTTAGGACACTATATAAGTATGTATTAAAAAAAACTATCTACTATTAAAAATTGCAATTGTTTTAACTCTTAATCATTACTCCGCAAACACAAATGAGCGTAGTAAACCTTAAGTCTTAAGCCTTTAGAAATTGATTAATCACGATCGAAGATATAAGAGAAATAATCTATTGTGATTGGTCAGTCCTTAAGGCTCAAACTTGATTAACTTTATTACTCCTATTGCGTTTGCGAGATTACGGGAATACTATTTAAAACTAAGCGTAATTCAAATGTTGCGCGCTGCCGTGGAGGATGATCGCAGCGCTCTCTGGCGGTGTCCGGCGGAGTTTGAGCCGCGGCCCCGGCGGAGCGACGACGTAGCGAGGAAGCGAGTGAGCGAGCGAGCGAGCGGAGCGTGCGACCGCTCTGTTGCTGCTGCTGCGTGCCAACTGTGTCTACGTGCAACGCCATTTTCTGTGCCCGCGGGTGAACTAGTCGACTCGCGTTCGTTCATTCGTGTGATCGGTCGATCGAACATCGGCGACGTCTCGGGCGACGTTGCCCCACGTTGATCTCAGCCACTTCGCCTCTCGGCGAGGACTCTCTTTCGCCGTCCTGCTCGTTTACTCCTGCCAGTCTGTGTTAACTCGGCTTCCCCGCCCGGGATATGTGCGGACACGCGGCGGACAGCCGTGCGACGGATACGATGGTGAGTGGCGAGCCGTGCGTGAGTGTGTCGAACGCGTGTGAGAGAGACGGAGACGCAAAGCGAGGATTAATCGAGAGCGGCGGTGACGGGGGAGAGCGGGATCCGGAGTTCCGTGTGTTCCCATTGTGACGTCTTGTCAGTCGGTCTTATTCCCGTGCGCCGTCGTCGCGCGACCGCGATAACGGAATCCCTCAGGGACCCGATAAAACGAAGCCGCGCTGTCGAGGAAAGACGGCGGTATCGCCGCCGCCGTCGCCGCCGCCGCCGCCGCTCGATGGGCGGCGGTTTCCTGGGGGGTGGAGGGAGGGAGCGGCACATGGCTGTCGTCGCGTAGAGCACAGGGCGCCGGCTGTCCGTGCAGGGGGTGGCTCTCCCCCGAGAAGTATTATTCTCTCGCTCTGTCTCTCTCTCTTTCTCTCACTCACACACACACACACACACACACATTATACAGCACACAAGCGTTTCTAGCGAGGCCTGCGTCTTTTTCCTTCTCGTCGTCCGAGCGACAGAGCGACGCTGCTGTCTCAACGTTGACGGCGTTGACAGCGCGATGTCGATCGTCGAACGTCACTGTTATACTATGTAAGAGGGTAATTATTCACCCCTCACGTCATTCGTGAGATGATAAAGATCCGGTGCCACCATGAGATTAATTGAGTAATGTGTCAGTTGATTTGTAGCTCCATTTTGGAGGTCGCCCTTTAACAAGTTTCTCCTTGGAAGTCGCGGAGATGTCTCGACTCTCCTTTGAACCCCTATTTCAATAAAAAAAAAAAAAAAAAAATTTTTAAATGTG